ACACATACGCATACACACACGCATACACACATACACATACACACACGCATACAAGCACACATACACACATACGCATACACACATACAAGCACGCATACACACATACACATACAAGCACGCATACACACATACACATTACACACATACAAGCACGCATACACACACGCATACACACATACGCATACAAGCACGCATACACATACAAATACACATACACACATACAAGCACGCATACACACACGCATACACACATACGCATACAAGCACGCATACACACACACGCATACACACATACGCATACAAGCACGCATACACACATACGCATACACACACGCATACACACATACGCATACAAGCACGCATACACACACGCACATACACACATACAAGCACGCATACAAGCACGCATACACACATACGCATACAAACACGCATACACATACGCATACACACATATGCATACACACAAACGCATACAAGCACGCATACACACATACGCATCCACACATGCGCATACAAGCACGCATACACATACGCATACACACATACGCATACAAGCACGCATACACATACAAGCACGCATACACACATACGCATCCACATATGCGCATACAAGCACGCATACAAGCACGCATACACACATACGCATACAAGCACGCATACACACATACGCATACAAGCACACATACACATACAAACATACGCATACAAGCACGCATACACACATACGCATACACACACACGCATACACATACGCATACACACACACGCATACACACACACATACGCATACACACATAGGCATACACACATACGCATACAAGCACGCATACACACACACACACGCATACACATACGCATACACACATACGCATACACACATACGCATAAACACATACGCATACACACATACGCATAAACACATACGCATACACACATACGCATACACACATAAGCATACAAGCACACATACACACATACGCATACACACATACAAACACGCATACACACACGCATACACATACACATACACACATACAAGCACGCATACAAGCATGCATACAAGCACGCATACACACAGGCATACACACATACGCATACAAGCACGCATACACATACGCATACACACATACGCATACACACACACATACGCATACAAGCACGCATACACACATACGCATCCACACATTCGCATACAAGCACGCATACAAGCACGCATACACACATACGCATACAAGCACGCATACACATACACACATACGCATACAAGCACGCATACACACATGCGCATACAAGCACGCATACACACATATGCATACACACACACGCATACACACACACGCATACACACATACGCATACACACACATACACACATACGCATACAAGCACGCATACACATACGCATACACACATACGCATACAAGCACGCATACACATACGCATACAAGCACGCATACACATACGCATACACACATACGCATACAAGCACGCATACACACATACACATACAAGCACGCATACACACATATGCATACAAGCACGCATACACACATATGCATACAAGCTCGCATACACATAAGCATAAACACATACGCATACAAGCACGCATACACACATACACATACACACATACGCATACAAGCACGCATACACACATATGCATACAAGCTCGCATACACATAAGCATACACACATACGCATACAAGCGCGCATACACACATACACATACACACACACACATACGCATACAAGCACGCATACACACATACGCATACAAGCACGCATACACACATACGCATACAAGCACGCATACACACATATGCATACAAGCACGCATACACACATATGCATACAAGCACACATACACACATACGCATACAAGCACGCATACACATACGCATACACACATACGCATACAAGCACGCATACACACACGCATACACACATACGCATACAAGCACGCATACACATATGCATACACACATACGCATACAAGCATGCATACACACACGCATACACACATACGCATACAAGCACGCATACACATAAGCATACACACATACGCATACAAGCACGCATACACATAAGCATACACACATACGCATACACACATACGCATACAAGCACGCATACACACATGCATACAAGCACACATACACATAAGCATACACACATACGCATCCAAGCACGCATACACACATACGCATACAAGCACGCATACACACATACGCATACAAGCACGCATACACATACGCATACACACATACGCATACAAGCATGCATACACACACGCATACACACATACGCATACAAGCACGCATACACATACGCATACAAGCACGCATACACATACGCATACACACATACGCATACAAGCACGCATACACACATATGCATACACACATACGCATACACATAAGCATACACACATACGCATACACACATACGCATACACACATTCGCATACAAGCACACATACAAGCACGCATACACACATGCGCATACAAGCACGCATACACACACACGCATACACACACACGCATACACACACATACGCATACACACATACGCATACAAGCACGCATACACATACGCATACACACATACGCATACAAGCACGGATACACATACGCATACAAGCACGCATACACATACGCATACACACATACGCATACAAGCACGCATACACACATACACATACACACATACGCATACAAGCACGCATACACACATATGCATACAAGCACGCATACACACATATGCATACAAGCACGCATACACACATATGCATACAAGCTCGCATACACATAAGCATACACACATACGCATACAAGCACGCATACAAGCATGCATACACATAAGCATACACACATACTCATACAAGCGCGCATACACACATACACATACACACATACGCATACAAGCACGCATACACACATACGCATACAAGCACGCATACACACATATGCATACAAGCACGCATACACACATATGCATACAAGCACGCATACACACATACGCATACAAGCACGCATACACATACGCATACACACATACGCATACAAGCACGCATACACACACGCATACACACATACGCATACAAGCACGCATACACATATGCATACACACATACGCATACAAGCATGCATACACACACGCATACACACATACGCATACAAGCACGCATACACATAAGCATACACACATACGCATACACACATACGCATACAAGCACGCATACACACATGCATACAAGCACACATACACATAAGCATACACACATACGCATACAAGCACGCATACACACATACGCATACAAGCACGCATACACACATACGCATACAAGCACGCATACACATACGCATACACACATACGCATACAAGCATGCATACACACACGCATACACACATACGCATACAAGGACGCATACACATACGCATACACACATACGCATACAAGCACGCATACACATACGCATACACACATACGCATACAAGCACGCATACACACATACGCATACACACATACGCATACACATACGCATACACATAAGCATACACACATACGCATACACACATACGCATACACACATACGCATACAAGCACGCATACACACATACATACAAGCACACATACACATAAGCATACACACATACGCATACAAGCACGCATACACACATACACATACAAGCACGCATACACATACGCATACACACATACGCATACAAGCATGCATACACACACGCATACACACATACGCATACAAGCACGCATACACACATACGCATACAAGCACGCATACACATAAGCATACACACATACGCATACACACATATGATACACACATACGCATACAAGCACGCATACACACATACACATACAATTACGCATACACATAAGCATACACACATACGCATACACACATATGATACACACATACGCATACAAGCACTCATACACACATACACATACAATTACGCATACACATAAGCATACACACATACGCATACAAGCACGCACACACACATGCATACAAGCATGCACACACACACACACAAACTTGCATACAAGTACACACACACACACACATCTGTGACCCAACCCCCCTTTGCACGGCACTGCCCCAGGCTTTGCCTTAATGCAGCCAATCCAGGCTAAGACCACAGCTCAGGCTGAAACAGTTGTCACTCAGTAATGACAGACTCTGGGGACACCCCGAAACCATCGGAGCTCCAGCAGCCCTCACTGCCCCCCCCCCCCCCCCCATGTCTGAATGTGATGAGGCCCAGGCATAAAAACTCGGTTTCCACCTTCTGCTCAGACAGGGCACGTTTCCTTCCGCACAAGCAGCGCCGACAGAGAGCCTTGGATTAGCTCACAAGGGCTACACTGGTTTTGTTTATTTAACTAATTAAAGTGCTCAGACGGTGTTTTTTTCTTTCCAGAGGTGAAACACAGCAGACTGGAATCACAGCTCCAGAAAGGGAGCAGGCAGAGAAAAACAAGCTTTTTTATCTCTAGGGAGTGCAACAAACTTCAAAGCTTTAAGACTCGGTGCAACAACGGAGCAGCTAGTGCTTCTGGGTTAGTCAATACTAGTAGCACATAACATCTTAAAGGCTACTTTTTTTCTGTCATCATGCAACTACTTGGAGACTCAAAATTGCAAGAAAATTCACAAATGTTCAGCTCGACACTCTAAATTAATACTATGGTGTTTTGGGGACCACTTTAATATGCAGCCAGGTGGAGCATGTGACATCAGTGCAAACAAACTGATCATTGTTTAAATATCTCACAAAATTTCTTGTTGCAATTTCTACTTTTGGCACTAATTAGGGGACTAAAATCTGCATGGCTATTGCTTTAAATAGGTTTCTGTCTCATCTCATTTGACTGCATTAAAGACATGCACCTCACAGAACAGCTGCACAAATGTCTCAGCGGACTCCAGGTCAAAACTCTCCAGGAGTTTCCCATGTCGTTGTGCAAATGTAGTTAAAATTTCTAGATGATATCCAAACATTTGCACAAATAACTTGAGATATTTGTATTAGAACATGCACATTTGTTCAGTAAGTGGTGCAAGAGCAGCATGACCATTCAAGACTGACAATGCAGTCCAGCTCTGACTTTGTTATCAGACATCACACAATCTGGAGCTCAGATGAAGTGCAGACGCTGCTGCATGAGCACCGAACTGCGGAAGGTCTCAGCTCGTCAGTTGGACTCCAGTAGGTCTGCCTCCTGGCCAAAGGGTATGCACACATTTATTGTTCTATTTGATGAAAGCCTGCAATCAAGACAAAGCTGAGAGGAGTGGAGATTCGAGAGAACTTTTAACATGTACATGTTTAGAACATGCTTATGACTGCATGGACTGCGACCGGTGAAGGCCGTTGAACCGTTTCCAGGAGTCACTGTGCTTTCTGACCCAATTTCCTCCCTTAATGTGTGCGTAATTGTATGTGCGATTATTTTAATACATTTCTGATTATTTTCACCCGTATGCCACGGCTTCTTGTATGTTAGTAGATTCATCAATAATGTCACAGGAACAGCTTGGCAGAAATAGTGATGTACTAGGGATCCAATTTTCTTCTGTGTGTGTGTGTGTGTGTGTGTGTGTGTGTGTGTGTGTGTCTGTGTGTGTGTGTGTGTGTGTTTGACAGAGTGTGAGTGTCTATATGTGTGTGAGCCAACCAGAGGATTGGATAACGTGAAAATGACTGGGCAGCTTGGATAATGAATCTGCATGCGTGTGTGTGTGTGTGTGTGTGCGTGCGTGTGTGTGTGTATAAAGGCCATAGCACATCTGGATGGGAATTGGGGTGAATGAGGTGATAAATCACAGATGTACCCTGGTGCCCGCGATGCTCCGGTCAGTGAGCATGAAGGGCAGCAGCAGGGTGGAGGCAGGAGGCTGTTCAGACTCTAAACTCATCTCCATTTAGATCAAGAGAACTCTTATTTATTACAGAATGAATCTTGTTTCCATTCTTTGTCCATTACTGCCCTTGGTCATCGAAACCTGCTTTACATGCACAACTTTCAACTCAGCTCTGTTTATTTATGCCAACCACAGAATGCTCTTCAGCTTTTCTTATTTCAGGGTTCAGTTTTTAAACAGACAGTTTTGGTTTAGAATTTTGAAAGTTGGTTTGGTCTGTTCCTATCACTGTATTTCACATTAAAAGCTAACCCTTTTATTCTGAAATGCTGTTTATCTGCATAAAGGTGTCTTCAAAATAAAAGACAATAGAGAAGGGTTTAGATCTATCAGATCATATAACCACAGCACAAGGGTGCCCAATCCTGGTCTCAGAGAGCCGGTATCCAGCAGGTTTAGTGGTTTCTCTGCTCCAACACACTTGATTCAGTGGTGGAATCACCTGTGCAGCGGCTCATCAGGCTCTGCAGAAGCCTGTTAATCGCCTGATTGAAATCAGGTGTGTTGAAGCAGGTTAAAACTAAAACGTGTTGGATCCTGAACCCCTTCCACAAGAACATGTTACTTTCTTACATTTTTTAATCATTTGGCGCAATAAGTGTTTTATTTTAATGTTAATATAATATATAATAGTAACACATTAATAATTATAATAACATTCTAGACATTTTAGATTTGTTTACATCTCTTTTAAGATTTCCAAATAATTTCAATTTAGGTGAAAAAACTAAAGTTTTTAAAAGATATTGGGACTAAATGATGTTCTACCAAGTGGCTGACCAGCCAGATAAATGGATTATTCATGCTTTGGTTTCTATCTCTTTCCAGTAGCGCGCATTTAGGCTTCAAAGCAAGAAAAGGGGCTGAACTAGAAAGAAAGCAATAAAACTGTATGAAGCCTTTTTTTATGACAGTAAAAACAGCAAAGCTCCTCAGGGTCACCTGGCTCTGCCGCTGGCGAGGTGCCTCCTACAGTAGACTGGTGAAGTTGTCAGCCCGGTGTTTGTGTGTGTGTGTGTGTGTGTGTGTGTGTGTGTGTGTGTGTGTGTGTGTAGGTGTGTGTGTGTGTAGGTGTGTAGGGGTGTGTGTGTGTGTGCAGCAGTTCAAAGTGGTGGGAAATGAATAATGAATGAAAGCCAAGGAGAAGGCTTTAAGGCGTTAGTGGAACACTTGGTGGAGTGCTTTATAAAAAAGGAATTATACAAGAGAAAAGCTTTGCTCAGCAATACCTGCTAGTAGATTGTTAGCTTAGCTCTCCCGTGGCGTTCTATATGCAATTTAACTTTGCTAATGGCATCAAAACCCTTTCTGGAATACAGATGCTTTTATAATGCAGTCATATTAAGCATCCATTTGAGAGTGCTCAAGTGTACTCACTGTAATAGAGTATTGTTCCTTACTCAGCATATTAAAATGTGTGTGTGTGCAAACATGAGGCAGCCTCACCTCTCTGAGCATGGGGTCCTGGATGGAGCTCAGGTCGACCGCTCCCTCGTAGGTGAGATAATAGAAAACATTGAGCGCTCTGGAGGCTTCAGGTCCCTGCTGCTTGTAGCCAAAGATCAGGTCGATCCACTGGTGAAGCTGACACGACACAAACTCACTCTCCAGCGCCTGCCACGGGAGGAGAAAACAGAGCATTATGAGTGTTAGCAATATCAACATGTGAACGTTTTAAACACTAAACTTTGACCAATGCTGCTCCTCAGAAACAGTCTCCATTAGGAAACTATGGCTATCCTCAGAGAAAGCCCAATCCGGCTAATCGTTCCTGTGATGGGACCTGCAGATGATTTTCATCACGAGCAGATATGCACAGAGCCACCATGTCTGATCATAACGAAGCACGAAAACTTTAGTTGCTCATCAGGGAGTCGTTCCAGCTCCGGTCTTTGTTCTTTCTCTGCTGCTCGTGAGCAGACAAGAGCCCGGTGTTATTCCTCCTGCAGACGTCTCCGCGCCGCCATTACGCTGAGATACAAGCCGTTTTCTCTCCTCATTAGCCGGCAAAGGAGGGGAAAAAACATTTATGGTTTCCTCATAAAAACAGGCAATAGTGTTAATTTGTGTAAAGCTGTCGGCTCACAAAAGCCCTCTAAACACAACCAAATTAGAATGAGGCAGCCCTTGATTGTCATTGCTGCCTAGTGTCACATTAATTTGTGACAAAACATTAGCCTGTGCTGCACTTAAACGGCAATTTATATCATTTAAATTTTTACTGCACATGCCAGTGCATCCTTCACTTAAATGTGACTTTCTGACAGCTCATTTTGCATCTAATTTCTCCCCACTTGCTTAATTGCATTTTTTTTAGTCCGGGGAGCCACGCATGTCTGGAGGAGGAAACTGAGTGCAGCTCAGGTGTGATGATGTTACACTCTAGCGTTAGTGCCCATCACAAAGCTCATGATTCCTACTGATGAGGAGTTTGACGATTAAAGACAAACAAGCAGATTCCAAGCTAGAGAGAAGAAGACAATGGCTTGCTTTAATTGGGATCTCATGGAGAAAAAGAGTTTGGAAAAGTTCCACCATTGTGAAAGGTTGAAATGAGGTTGCTTATGCAGGATTAGCCCAGATCTTTAAAAACAGACTGTTTGCATGTATTTTAAAGCTGTGGTCCATGGTAATGGAGGGGAGAAGAGTTTGAAATTGAACAGCTATAGTTTCTGCCCCGTCCCCCCTTCTGGAAGGAGCTGAAAGACACGCCTCATGCCACCAACGAGCACAAACGAGGCCATGTGGCATTAATGCACAAGTTATGTTTTCTATAATAGGACACACATCATTCTCACAGCTGGATCATCTCCTCAGCCTTCATTCATTTCTGCAGGAGCTGCTAATCACCTATTTTAATCAAATCTGCAGTGTTGAGGCAGGGAACCAAAAGACCAAAAGGTGATGCTAGCACAGCCTTGCTAACGCTACACAGGCTAAAGAACTCGTTTGATGTGGCACAACGTTTAACACGACACTAATCACTTATCCCCACGACAAAAAAGATAAATCCCTTTTCATTCCTCTCCCTCCTCATCCACAGTTAGCTTGAAATTTACAGACAGACATTAATTCAATGCAGCTCGATTTAGCATTCAAGCTAGGTTGGAGTGCTAACCTGATGGAGGTGTGTGTCACACCGTAGTGCATGCTGGGAACTGGCTCCCTCTTGTGGATTAGAGATGGGGAGACTCAACGATCCAAACCGGAGGTTCCTTCATGACGTTAGCGATGCGACTGCACTGGTAGCTTCAGTGTTCATCGGATATAACTGTCGGCTATGTCACAATGTATGTTTCCTTTCATGTCTGATTGGTAAAACCCATCGATTACAACATAGTTTACCTGCTATGTCCTCGTATTTTAGAGGCGCATTGAGCACACCAGCAGTATTCTTTAGCGGGGGCCCGGTGGTACTGTACCAACCATTGTTGGACATATTAAAAGATGTGATTTCTGTCTTAACTTGCCAAAACAAACTTCCTGAAAACCACAAACTGCAGACTGTTGATAATCTGCAGACAGAGTCCGTTACAGTCTCTGCAGCTGCGCGTTCTTCCGAGCTCTGCACACAGGAAGCTTTACACGAGGTCATTTACAATAATTCATCTTTACTGTAACATTTCTGAGCAGAGTGACGGTCTAAACCTCATGGTTGAAAGTGTTTTGCATTTTGCAGGAATTCACATTGATGGTTCTTTTTCTAATAATTTCAACGGATTACTGCAGCAATAAAAACATGTATATTAATATCACTGATGAAGTGCTTTTATTTTTCATGGTGAATGCATTCAGCACACACACACACAAAACACACAGACACAGACAGAAAGTGGGACAAATAACTGATGTTTAAAACCAGCAGGGGCTTGCAAACTCTTTCAAATGTGTTGAATCTTTAAATCGCATCATGAATTGTATTGAATCGAAAATCGTTGTCCAATCATTAAAAAAGTCGCCAGTAGGGATGGATCACATTGAATGGCAGCGGCGCAGTGTTTCACTGTAACCTTAATGCACTGTATCGATAGCGTATCGGGATGTGAGTCAAACATTCCTGTTTTGGATACGTAAAACGCTCTAGGCTCGTGTTTATGATTCATTTTGCTGTAGAGGCCAGGGGAGGGACTTGGAGAAAATGTACATTACTTCATATCATTAAACAGGGTCAGAGAGTCAAACTTAAACATTTGTGAAGTAAATTTTATTAAACAACTTTTTTTGTTGTTTAAATGTAATCTGTTGTCTTTACTGAGCATCAGAAGGCAGGAAGACGGTATGTCTGTGTTTGGGAAGATGGAGATCAGTCCATTATGCAGTAGAATTGACCTCACTTTCCTGTTTCTGAAGTTAAAGCTGGGACTGATGGGCATTTAATGTGCACTGCAATCAACTGTCACTCAGTACAGAGAAACAAAGAGCAGCCATGTTATTGCAGCTCCGTCCTCCGAGGCCTGCCTTTATGTAAATCACTCACGCGCTCCGTTTGAACAGGAAGGGGTGAAGAATGAGTGAAACAAAAACATCAGATTTGTGCACATTTGACCTGATTGTAACATTCAGCGAATTAAAGATCTTTCTGCTCCAAACAGGATGCCGACTCGATCGTGTTCAAAGTGTCTTGAGTTGGAGCGTTAAAAACCAGAAGGGGTAAGTGAATGATCCACAGAACAGAAAAAAGTTCTGATTGTTTTACATAAATCAGCCTTTTTTACTGTGTTACTAACAATTTTGAGACGATACATTTGAAAATTAACATCGTTTAGAAAATATTGAAGAAAAATTTAAGTGGAAAATTGGTGAAATGCTGCAGTTTTTGTCTACTGAGTCAATAAAGATAGAATCACCTGTGCAACATCAGCAAAAATGACTTGTTGATCATTTCTTTTTAAAGTTAAAGTTCAAGTCCCATTAGTTGTCACACACACACAGGTGTGTGTGCGAAATTTGTTCTCCGCATCTGACCCATCCCCTGGGGAGCGGTGAGCTGCAGACACAGCTGCGCTCGGGAACCATTTGGTGGTTTAACCTCCCAATCCAACCCCTTAATGCTGAGTGCCAAGCAGGGAGGCACTGGGTCCCACTTTTTCAAAGTCTTTGGTATGACCCGACCAGGAATTGAAACCCTGACCTCCCAGTCTCAGGGCGGACACTCTACCACTAGGCCACTGAGCTTAAATAATTAAAATTAATTTGTACAGAACACCATATCTTGAATACATAGGAATACAATTATTGTCCACTAACAATTAAGTAATTATAAATATTTACCTGAGCAGAATAACTAGTGACTATTTCATTAGCTTATTATTAAACTGTGGCTCCTATTGCAAATTTTAGAAATTCAGGTATTTTTTTTGTAATTTACAAAATAAAACTTTATTAATAAATGTTTTATTTTATTTCAGTCTGGTGAAGACAAGAATATAATAATTACATTTAAGGTGAATATTTTCCCCAGAATTATAAATAATCTGAACTGTGAAGATGCATAAAACAATAGGCACATACACACAAAAATGTGTTTTATTACTGTAAATTGCATATTAGGGAAAAAAATGTATTCAGTAAATTATATATATATATCCTAAAAGAAGGAATTTTTACGTTTAAAAAGTGACATAAAACCTCTGAATGATTAGAGCTTTTTTCACACTGCCCTGTCCTATACACACTCTAATCTTTAAGGAGAATATTACCCAGAGGACAGTGATGTCCCCTCTACAATGACAGATGGCCTCAGTGTGCTTGATTTATATCAAAATGACCGAAATGTGTAAAATGAGATATTCCCCGATTAATAAACGTGACGTGCAGAAAGGAGTCATACTCCGATTAACCATCAACTGAATGCCAGGTGAGCAGGTGTGAAAGTGCTTCCTCGTGTGGAAACACACCATGGAAGCGTCTGAGCAGAAGGCTGGAGCAGATAGCTCATTCCTGAGGTGGGATCCAGAAGGAGAACCGGTGGATTATTGATGTGCCAATTAGCAGCCGGTGTGTGTCTTCTTCACCCCACAAGGGACTCACTGATAATTAATGAATAATTTAGCATGCCTTTATGTAAATGCTAACAGGGGGTAGAAGTCACTGGAAACCCTCATTTCTATTGTTGCAGGTTTGATGAAGTACACCTCAGAAGAATGGGAGGGGTCCCTTTTTGTTGTGGGCTGTGATTTGTTTTCAACAACAAACATTTGGAATATTCTCTCTAATGCACTAGAATAATTTATTTACCCTGGTCAGTTTCTGCTCGCTCAAAGCAAACTTTAAAATATAATTTCTCTCGAGTTTCATGCATAAGATGCATTTGAGCCTCGTCTCTGGAGGTCTTGCTGTGAGACCTTGAGTGGGGACTTCTAGAGAACCAAGAACAGTCAAAAGGAATGATGGGTCGTCTGTAAAGTCTGTCAGTGTTGCATTTTAAAAGCAGGTTAAAGTTTTAAAACATGCGATCCCATCATGCTGGAGACACCAAATGACTGCAATAAGAAAGCTGAGGAACATTAAAGGTATTAGAAAGTTGTGTTTTAAACAATTGGAAACTCTTCTTTGAGCCTCTATAAAGCAGACAAAACGTTGTCGGGGCTCACAATGACCCATGAGCCCTGGTAAATGGGCAGACAGTGGTGTGGACAGCATGGACAAATGAGGGACACAGTGACAGGGACCTACAAGCAATGGATCTATTTATCATAATCTGGATATTCCCAGTACATCCTGGAACATGAGTGATGCTCCTGCATTCTTTGTTTTTTTCTCCCTTTCAAATAGGTTGTCAGCAGCTCGGGCCGGGGTTAGCCATAGACAAGCGTATGTGTACATGCCATTGGCTGCTGTCGAGCCTAACAGTGTCGCCACCTTATTGGGTGGGTTCCTCACTCGTTAAACGCAAATGGAGTCAAAGAGTGAGCAACTATGCCTGTTTTTGTGCAGCAACAACCAGTGCACTGTTGAAAACAGATCACGTGGGATTACTTTTGTCTGCTACTACCTGTTGGGATTTTAAATTTATTTTTATGTTATTTATATTTTTATTATCATGCCATACCATATGTCTGATTTTGTGAAAAAGCATAATAAGACGAGTTTTTTTAGTTGGGTAAGCACCTTCTTTAGTAGAAATAAATACACTGGGTGCAAATGGGAACCAATCCAAGATGGCGGTCCGCTGCTATGTCAGCATCAGCCCAAGTCGTGTCCACATATATAATGTCTGTGGTGAAAGCAGTAGCTCACGCTAACATTCACAGTTGCTCTGATTTGCATTAGCAGTAGCTCGGGCTAGCATAGCTCTCTGGCTAGCAATACCATGACCAACATTTACATGTTGCTGCCGCTGACGTAGGTTGGGACATGCAAATGTGAGGAGATGTGTCTCCTCTCTGTCATCTTTCAACATCAATAATTTACAGAGGAAAGCAGGTTGGCGACAGCACAAGTATTCTGGAATGCTACGTTTGACACCCCGAGCTGCCTACATCCAACAAGGTCAACGTAGTTTAAAATTCTAGGACTGCGCTTTAAAGAGTTCTGAGAAGATCCAACTTGGATCAGCAACTTGCTAAGGTTAGAGCTCTATCTTCTGTCTAGCAAATATCCTCCGCTTGTTGAAAGTGCATCTTTCCAGCTTGCACGTCGTTAATGAGCAAGTCCAAGAAATCTCCGTACCTCGCTGTGGTTTGAGGTTAGCTTTATGATCTGGATCGAGCTGGATTTCACTTCACCCTTAACGAGGTGACAGTGAACGCTTTCCTCCTTCCCTCACTGGTCCTAAAAAACCCTTTTAAGGACTTATGGAGAGCTGTCTGTAAGGATGCTAAAACATCACTTAACAAATCAATCCTCTCATTTGCTAGCCAAGAATAATGCCAAGTATGTGTGTACAGCCCTTTGTGTGTGTGTGTGTGTGTGTGTGTGTGTGTGTGTGTGTGTGTGTGTGTGTGTCTCACTTAACGGTGTGCAACTGAACCCACTTTTACATGCAAAAGATTTTCAAAGAGTTGTCTTTTAAACTGATAACAGATGATTACTTGTATTAAGAAGGTTAAAGATCTCATAACCACCATCAGCACGACACACAGAGACAACAGAAATATTAGGAAGATAGAAAAACTCATTTAGTTTAAGATACATCTTTAGGGTAAATAATTATTTGTTAATTTGGTGAATTATTTTATTTTATTAGCTTTTTTTTAGTTAAAGCTGATAAAAAATAAACCTCTTTAAAGAAAATTGCACTAAAGTTTTTGTTTTTCATCCTGTTTTTTTATCAGCTACATTTTTCCATCTATCAATCCATGCACATTTTTAAAAACAGCTCCTCTTTTCCTCCTGCTTTCTTCTGCCTGAGGTTGACAAGCACTCTGATTAAAGGACTTATTTAGCTGACTTCATTTTAAAGAAGGCTGCACAGCAAAGAGGGCCTCACTGCAGAGGAGAGACGGAAAAAGAAAGGCAACAGATGACGTAAGAAACGGGATCCTTAAAGCAGCTAACGAAGCATTTCCTTGATTCTTATATTCACACACACACACACTGACTAAATCCCAGATGTGTGTGGTACCTCAGCCCCGCCCCTTTCCAACTCCACTAATTAGAAAGGTCACAACTGTGAGAGCGCCAAGGTTCAATGGAGGCAAGTGGAACCCGAGACTCCAACCCTCGATTCTCCCCTGCCAGCTTTTGCCCACTTAAAGAGCAACAATATCATATTAAGGGCTGAGGAGAAGCTAAATGAGCAGCAACTGAGAGATATCTTCTCAAAACAAACACTCCATGGTGGATTTGGTCCAATTTACAGCACACACACGGTAGTAAACAAAGCAGCAGATGGATGTAACAAATGATGCTGATTTAAAGCTTCAGAGAAACGAGTCAGAAAGGGCACGCAGCTTTTGTTTTTGCAGAAAAAAAAGTCCAAATAAAAGAAATTTCTTTAGGAGCCCCTCAGCTTGGTTGGATTTAATTTTCATTTTCAAACTGTAGTTTTCTAGTCAACTTGCGTTTGATCCTAAACGCTAACAAGCACCTGCAGAGAGGAAAACCATCGGTCCTCCTAAAAAGGCTAATTAGGCTAGCTAATACATCACCAGCCTGATGAGATGATAGCTTCAGCTGAGCAAAGGAAAAGTCAACAGTCAGAGCTGATTAAACACGGGAGCAGTGAGCAAGGCTTCAGCTTCCTACCGAGGAATATTTGGATAGCTGTAGAAGCATAATTGTCACAGATGATTATAGAGTTGGCCCGTGAACAGAACAGCGGAGATGATTAGGATGAATGGCTCAGCTGATCAGCTTGTGCTGTACTTGGTCCTCCTGGAGACGGTTCTGAGTACTTGGTCCTCCTGGAGACGGTTCTGAAGGTGACTTTCTGGGTCATTGGGGAGGGACTTGGTTTTTCCGAGCACGTATGAAGAGTGAAAAACAAACAGAACCTCAGAAAGAAGTGCATCGTGACATAGCAGCAGCCTATCGCAGCTGCCATTTATTAAGCTAGAAAGTCAGAACCGTGATCTGGTGAAGGTGTCGGGTCAGAACCAAATCAGCTGTGTTCCAGTTACAGCCCAGAAGACCAATCAGAACTGATAATGTGCTCAGCGCCGACCACGTATCCAAAGGGTTGCAGGTTGGCATCCCACTCCGACCGTCGCATGGTGCCCGTGTTCGGCAGCCTGGCCTCTGCCAGTAGAACCCAGAGCAGCTGTGGCTACACTGCAGCTCATCAACACCAGTGTGTAAATGTGTGTGATTGACTGGTGTGCTGTAAAGCACCTTGGGGGGTCACCAAAATCTATAAGATGCGATATTTACACAGGCCATCTATCATTTATGGGTGACCATTCTGTCTAGCATTAGCAACACAAGCAATACTAAGTACTGTGATAGTACTTATTACTGTATTTACTGTGTGTAACCATTACCACCTTTCATGTGTGAAGCAGCCATATTGGATTTTGGAGTCTGCTGATTTGCACAACTCGAAAATCAAAAGTTTAGATTTCCAGTGACCTAGCACACCATCATGCAGTTCACTATAAAACATTCTCACAAACGTTTAATCACTACAGACTATCCTTGTCGAGGATATCTGCTGTCATGTTAGCGGCGCAACAGTCTGAGCCAAAGGACCAACAGTTGGACAGAAGACAGAGTTCTGCTGCAGAGGAGCATCTCAGTTGACTTTGGCTGAAGCAGCACGGCGGTGTGGAGGAGGACAGGAAGAAGACGGACCACATTAGTGAGTGAGTATTTCAGGAACAGTAGATCATCCCATTTCTCAGGCTCTCATTAGCCTCCTCCATTACATCACTGAAAAAGAGGTTAAAGACATGAGGGGGAGGGGGGGCAGCTCGTAAAACACTGAGCACACAGTAAACATGTCTGCCCTTAAGCATGACAATACCCCTACAGCGAGCGCTGCCTGACATTAGCCAGATAACCCCCCTCCCATCTTCTGGCCCACGTGGTAGTTCCCATCCTACAACGAGGCTTTCTCTGGAGACACCAGGGGAATAGATTAGTGCTCCTCTAACATGGTAAGCTGTGTTTTGGTACGTGAAGCCACTTTGAGGCCAGACAATGTTAAAATCGTCGCTCACTCAGTCATTCACAAGTGCTCGAGGACGTGCTGTGGTTTACCTCAGCTCACACACGAGCTCCTGTGGGATTCCTGAGAGAAGATGCGTATGCTGGTGGGAACCACCTTCAGCAGCTCAGAGACTGGTTGTAGGACTTTAGTGTAGCCGGTGGCCACAAAAACTCAGGGTGACAGCAGTTGTTGGATTGTAAACATCACAAAGGTCGTGTTGGACTCATGAGTTAGCTTGTGTAAGTGTGAAGAGCTGTCATCATATATAACTGACAAACTTCAGTGTAATTACAAAGAGCACCAGGGTATTATGACACTTGTCTGTTAGCAGCCATGTAGATGCACCTCTGCAGGAATGGTCTGGTGATGTCACCAACACCACGACAGCTGTAGGGTCAAATGTGAGACTACAAGGAACAGAACGGTAGCAACATGAATGTCTGCAAATGCACAAAATAAATAAATCTAGAACACAAACTCTTGACGTACACATGAATTCAGTCAGACGTTATTAGCCATTTTCTTGACTGAGTTTACTGTAGGGATATTCAATAAACAGTCCAAACTGATACTTAACATGTTTAACATGAGGTATCTGAACCATAACAGAGGGATTTACATGTCAATGGTGGAAACAAAACCCAATGCACACTGCTGCCAACTAGCAGTCGGCGTTTGAATTGCACCAAAAGAAAAGAAAATACACAAATGTTAGCATGTAAGTTCTTCCAAAAATTAGATATATGGCTTTCGAATATCGCAGGAAAACTTATCACGATATATTGCCATATCGATGTTTTCTCACATCCCTAGGTGACGACATGCAGCCTTTCATGTCAGTATTCTTCTGGTTAGCTTATAGCAACACAATAGTAAACATACGCTGGAAGGAGGGAGTACGGTCAGAATATGAACAATGACCGAAGGAATTAAGAACAACGTGGCAGCACAGCTTATCTGGTGCATACAGTACTGTCTGATGGTATTATCAGAGGTCCACTTTTGCGGTCTCATTACTTCCTGAAGGTGAGTGTCCAACCGGTCCCAGCTAGACGGAGCCGTTTACATGCTGATGAAGTCTGATTCCAACCACGTTATCTGGGTACTTCAGCTTGATCTGAACCAGTTCGACTTCAGCCAGTCTAACGTGTTTACATGCATTTAAAAAAAAAACAACGCGAGTCTGTTTAAGGCGATTCTTGGTTTACTGTAGCCCACACAATATCATTTATCTGTGGAGGAAATATATTTAATGATCCTGGGCCTGGTACATTACAAAGGTGTATAAAAAGTGTTTTCTTCCACTTGCATCCTACAAGTACCAACGGGTGTCCATCTGACTTCTGCAGCTCAGGAGCTCAGAGCGAGAGCTGACCACATGGACTGATCCTGTCAGCTTTGGACCAATCACTCTGGAGGTAATAGTCTAACTATGTGGACCTCAGAGATAAAAGCTACTCTGACACAGATGACTGAAAACAACCTAACGTGTCAAATAAGAAGCAGCACGAGCAACAGCTGTAGCCAGAGTTGGATCTTTCTGATGTGCAACACTACTGATGAGATAAGAGTGTAAACATCAGTTTGGATTTATTTTAGCATGAATCTCTGTTTCATGTGAGAACCTACAACAGTAGCAGGCGGGCTCTTCTCACTGAAACCCTGACCTGTGACAGGTAAACACAGATATGTAGACACGTAACACACACATTTACTTACACACACGGTCACCAGCTGTATATTTCAGAGACGTGAGATGTGGTCATACGTAGAAGAATGTCAGAGGAGCTGACAGTGCCCTGAGAAATGTAGTTATACGGTGGAAGAGGGATCAAGTTCTTAACCCCTACGCTGACCTCCTGGTAAAGACAACAAGCAGCTCCTGATCTCTGTGGCATGCCGCCTCTAGACCCCGGTGTGTCTTTGTGGATGGGTGTGTGGCTTCCCCAGCTTCAGTGCTGTGTGTGCTAGGGTTGTCACGGTATGAAAATTTAACCTCACGGTTATTGTGACCAAAATTATCACGGTTTTCGGTATTATCGCGGTATTTTTTTAACGGTGTTGCATATGTTCAGAAAGCATTGATAGTCCTGTTCTACACAAACTGAAATAGTTTTGAAAAGGTTTAACAATGTTTATTAAACCTAGAATAACACAAAGCCTTAGCAAAAGTGCAACTTTTCACAAGTAAAGGAACAAATAGCTTATTTTTCTGGAACATGTTACAGTAGTCAGTGCAGGTTTAAATGATACAAATCCAAACATTCAAAACATAAACAATATGTAAACAAATCAAAGAAACACCACTTGTTTTCTCATATACTTGTTTTCTTCATTATCAAAATGAAAATCTAAAACTCCAGTCCACACTTGACTTGAGCACTGTACAAGTCAACCTTAAAAAATATGTATTTAAAATAAATAGCCACTTTAAACAAATTACTAAAATAACTACTACACTATGTAATCAAATCCAAATGTTCAAGTATAAATGGCATTGAATAAGTAAACAAATCAATGACAAGGAACTAATTGTATATTTCTCTTCTTCATCAACAAAGAAGATGCTTCATCCAGCAACAGGGTGTCCGTGACACGGTTTAAATGCTGGCAGAGGACGCTGCGGCTGCAGTATATAGTGACTCGTTGTATTCTCCCTCAACCAAAAGTCCTCACGTCATGCATTTCAGCTAAAATGCTCATGTTAACTTACCTTGCACTGGCTGTAGAGACATGGGTGATGGTCACGCAGATGTGCCATTAGATTCGAAGTGTTGCTGCCTTTTGCAGACACTTGTTTCCTGCACGTTCTGCAAACGGGATAGCAGTCTTCTACTAACTGTCCCTCAGCATTTTTCAGAAATCCAAAATATGCCCATACTTCCGATTTAGTCTTCTTTGAGGGCTGATGGATGTCCTGGGCGCTGCCGTCTCCTCCTTCGGCCATTATTTCAGCTTCAAAGTTTTGGTGCCGTTGTCGGTACAGGATCTGCTCGGGTGCAAGATCGGCTCGGGGTCCTTCGACTGCCGATGACGTCAAAGTACGGCAAACCCACTCGGACAAAATAAACTATACATCTATACTGTTGGAAAGAATTTAGCAGTTTCGTTATTAAAATAATGTTTCTTAAGACGTAAGTTTGTGTTTATAATGGTATTTGTAAAATAAAACACTATATTTTATTCATAATGTTGAACTCCTCTTTGAGCACATCCCTTGAAGAATCATAGGTATTAGCAACACCTGTGAAATTGTATTTGCAGGAAAGAAGTGTGTCCCGTTTATTGAAGTACTTTGTGTTTAGAGTTTTTGACGTCTTGTCCATGCGTAGTTCAGTTATGCTCATAGCTGCTAGCCAAAACTCTGGAGTTAAAAGTTTTCTGGCTATACTAAAATACCTGTCTGTACTTATTTAATTGATGGTAGTTTTACTTTCTATTAGACTCCAAATGTAGTCATTTGGCACATTTCTAATTCATAATTTGTAATAATGTAATCGGCGATATTAGCATTAGCATTCCTATGGGTTTTTCCATGTATATTAGCATTGCGCTAACCACTCGCTGCCAAATTGCAGCCTTTGCGATTAGAAAATCTCCTTTTGTCACATCGCAATTTAATTGCACATGCAGTTAATCGTTCAGCCCTAATATACATGCAGCTCTATGCTAAAAGTGTATTTTCAAAGAGGTAATGATGGATTTCTTTGTAAAAGTTGTCCATCTTTCCAACAGAAAGATTTGCCTGGACCAACGTAACGTGATTGCGTAATTCCGTAAGGTTCATGTTCAGCCAATCAACTACTTAGACGTCATCGGCAGTCGACGGGCCCCGAGCCAATTTTGCACCCGAGCAGATCTTGTACCGACACCGTTGCAAACTAAAAAGTGTGTGTGCGTGCCGCGGGAACTTCAGCTGAAGCGACGGTGGCTGGTAAGGGTCACCGCGCTGAAACCGCAGCCACGGTAAACCCACCGAGATAATTTAGTTTTTTAAAAACTGGACAGTTATTTTTATTGTCAACTTTTTTACCGGGGTTTACCGCTATACCGGTTACCGTGACAACCCTAGTGTGTGCTGTATAGGTAGACACTCTCTAAAAAACAGCGATGAATTATGACCTTCCCACCAGCAGAACGAATGAACCAGGCTGCAGCCTGATGCAGTTTTTCTATCGTCACCAATATTTTTTATTTTATTTCATCATCAGCCACGCAACTCTCCTCGCAACAACAAAAACAAGCTGCCGCCTCACGCAGCAGTGCAGTCCTTTACAGCGAGAGTGCTTTAATGGCCTCTCCAGATTGAGCCCTAATTAGCTGTTAATCATTTAAGGCTCATAACCAGAGCGGAGACAGCCGGCATGTGTGTGTTTGTTAGCAAAGCGCGCATTAGAGTGTGTTGGCGCGCCCCGTCCTGCTGTCTGTCCTCGTGTTGTGAAGCCATTAGGAGCAGAATTGCTAAAGAGAGCCAAACAGCCCATTAACTCCTCCACTCTGCCTCTCTTCTCTCCACCGGGCTCATCTCTCTCCCCAACAGCGCCACAGTTGCCAGCTGACACCCTCTAATGTCAGCTATCTGTCATGACCACGGACCTGTCCACCCACACAACCCTCCCAACACTCGTCCTCGGCCAGGGCCGTCTGCATTCTGTGGTAAAAAGGTTAAAATACCAGGATAAAGTCTAGTGTGACAGACTGCTTCTGATGGGACACACAACCATCTGTGGGCACTAGTGTTACATGAATGAGCGATTTGCGTGACTTTACTATTTTATAAGTTTTACGGGGCTAGTGCATCGGTGATCTGTGTGATGGAGTATTTAATATTCAGTAATGAAGCCTACTGCCGTTTAGAGCTGGTTTCTGATCAGCTACGCCTGCTTTGGCTGCATGTTAGATCAATAGATCAGCCGACTAAATGTCAAGAACGAAGTAGCCAATGGGAATTCTTCAGCATACCAAACTTCAAGTAGACCAGGGTGGTCACTCCTGGTCCTCTAGGGCCACTATCCAGCATGTTTTAGTTGTTTTTCTGCTCCAACACACCTGATTCCTGGATAAATCACCTGTTCAGCAGCTCATCAGGCTCTGCAACATCCTGTTAATCACCAGCAGATTCAAACCAGGTGTGTTTAAGCAGCGAAACAACTAAAACCTGCTGGATAGCAGCCCTCGAGGACCAGGACTGCCCACCCCTGGTGTATCTGAATCAGTTCAAGGTTTACTGAACATGAGTAACGCGTGTTATTTTTGAAAGAAAATAGACGGATTAACGTTTGCATCTGAAAAAGCCACACGGATCTACCTCAGAGTGAATAAGTCTTCATGGAATTACCCGTCGTGGCTCGCCAACGCAGAAGGCTGTGTAGTTACTGCCATCAGCAGACAGTTGAGCACGTCTCGGCTAGTAGAAGCTAACAGTTAGCACTAGTAGAAGCTAACAGTTAGCACTAGTAGAAGCTAACAGTTAGCACTAGCACCTCCACAACATGGCAGAACACATTTAAGCTCGTAATACTTGTAGAGATGGAACATCAACGTTGCATTTTTTACCCCAGAAACAAAGAATGAACGAACGGAGGCTGCCAGTTAGCCAATCAGTGGTGAGTGTTTTGCACATCATGAATATTAATGAGCAAAACTCCAAATCCTGTTTTAAGTCTGTTTGACTCCTTGTACATATTACATATGAGAACAGTCTAAATGTTTTTATCTTGTTTGTTTTTATCGTATCTAATAAGTTTGCTCTTTGGTGCAAAGCTGCTCATGTCTACTGCTGCCTCTTGGTCAGATCGTATTTATAAATATAAAACATGTCATTTACAACATGAATTTGTTTCACTGCAGCTAATTGTTCACATTTTAAATTCTCCACAAATAAGGACTAATTATTTATTCATCTTAGCATGAAAACAAAACAAAAACCTGTTTAGTCCATAGAAGCAGCATGCTTCCCAATCACACACTGGCCCACAACACTGACAGCCAGAAACTGAGAGGCAGTGTGTGATTGATGACAGAGGCATGGTCATATCAGCAGGCTGGTTAGCAGAACCCAACAGAGGACCGAGCAGGTCACAGAGCACACCCAGCCTCATCAGCACTCATTAGAAATGTGGGCGCACATCACACCCCAAACTGCAAATCCTGCCACCCCAAAAACCCAACCAGGAAAACACGGTCTCTAACATGGAAGCTGCAATAACTTTGCTGTTTATTCAGTTGTAACTGTACTCTGTTTATGCACACCGGTGGGGTCAAATAAAAGCTTCAAATGCTGATAAAAGCAACTTTAACCCAAATGTAGCGTCCAGCAATGGTCAGTTTAGGCACGGTTTGACCTTTCACCATCGATTCAACATCTGGTCAGAAAGTGTTCCCTTTAAATGAGTCTGACTTCACACCAGCTGGGATTCACGGACGCTGCTAGTCTGAATGATAAACAATAACTTTCTTTCCCCAAGGTCTCATCTGTCTGCCTCCAGAAGGAAGAACTCCAGTTCGAATTTATTATTAAATTCAAGAATGATTTAATAAATCAATATGAACTCCTTCTATGACTTATAATCTAGATAATCATTAAATAAACATTTGTTTGTTACTACTTATAATAATTATGGTATAATGAAATGCTTCATTAATCTGTGCACACTGAATGGATGTTATATGATGTTGTCTACTAGGACCTGCCATGTGTTCACCATGTTTCGACGACAAGGTCCCACACCTGCATCCTCACATAACACGTACGGCTAAGTTAAACCCGGACACATCTCTCAAACTTGTCAGCCTCTGATTGGCTGTCCAAATCATAACAGCTAAGCTAGAACAGTCTGAGAGATTCGACAGTTCTAGAGAATCGCTCAGACCGGCCATCTGTAGCCAAACCTCTTTAACCATCAACGATTCTGACACGTCGTCAAAACCTGTTTGCACCTGATGAGCGAACGGTTCCTGCAGAACAAGCTGATAATGTTTAGACTCCTTAAGAGTCCCAGATGCTCGGTTCCATCCGTCTGTCGTGACCCGAGACATCTCTGGATTGAAAGCATCGGTACCACGGTATTCTACAGCCCTCCGGTGCCAGCGGTCATCCGACCTCTCTGACTGTCAGATCCACCAGAGGGTCTCTGAATACGGGTGATGTAGACACACAGATCGCGTCTGATGTGCTTCTGATGATAACAACTTTATAGCTCAGAGCTAACCAGAACTCAGCTTATTTTGATAAGGAAGCTCTGAATGATATCGCATACACACAAAGGTTCCTTCAGCACGTTTAGATACATCCACTCACAGTAAATGCTTAATTCATTAGTCATGTTTTAAATTGTTTGTAAAATAAATTCTTTCTTTTATAAACTTGACTCTTTCTTGAAGTAACACAAAGTGTGGTTCATCACTGAAAAAGCAAAGAACCTAGATCTTCTGAATTAAATCCTAGAATCTTCTGAATAATTACAATAAAGTCCTCGCAGGTTAATATTTTATATTTATATTGTTACATCTTCGTGGTCATAACAAATGAAACCATCAATTTGCCTCCGCTACACAAACATAACTAGGCTCTGGCCTTTTGACCTACAGAAGTAGCACAGCACTTCCAAGAGTTGCCTCAGTTCCCTTGCCTCGAAACCGGACAACGTTACACACACACACACACACATACACACACACTGAATAATTCTACTTTGGACTCAGCGGACAGGAGACAGCAATCTGAGCAGAGACGAGGACCTGGACAGGAATGTTGAGCACTGTTGGATCACTTTGCCAACTAAGCAACTGGAGAGTCAGGTAACAGGAAGGGCTGATACCATCAAAAAGTCACCGTCGCTCCAGATTAGTTCAACGTGAAGGAGAAAGACTTTGGCCTGAGGTGCCCCTACCTGTTGATTAATCCGTACAAAGTCCTCTGGGCTTTTGGCCCAAGGTGGAAGCTCTACATCAGACACCCCGGTGTTGTCCTCCATCACACCCAGGTTGTAATTGTTGGCGTTGACGAACATCTCAGGCAGATAGAAGAACTCTGGGATGAGCTCCTGAAAAGGCACAAGCCAAAGACACAGGTTTATAGAGACCGACCACTACACAGGCGAGCTAAAGCAGGCCTCTGAACAGAAACCAGCCGCGTTCAAACTAGTGAATAACAGTTTAAAGGAGTTGTTTCCTGGCATTCTGGAAGGTTCAGGAACAAAAATGTAACTAAATTTTAGAGTTCTGGTTATAAAACAGGAACTATAGGGATGTGACCACGTAGCCCTTTTACAGCTCTAACGTTGACATTTCCTGAACAGAACACAGATTTACCTTATCTGCTCTTTAACACTACACAAGAGTAGAGAAAAACTGAGTTGTGGTTTCTCACTGTTTGGATATTTTCTGATTCCTTGTTTGAAATATAGCAGCGAAAAAAAAGAGCCCACTTCCCTTTTTCCACAACAACAGACAGGGGCAATTAGCCACATTTTTAAACTATGATGATTTTATTTAGCTGTCACAAACAACTAAACATGCTTTCAAACTGCAGGATGGTGCAGAGAAAGGAGATGTAACCTTAGATGTTTAGCCATTTGTCAGTCTTAACAAAGCAGAACACGCCACAGTGAGTATAAACATCACCGTTACTGCTGGGAGGTCTCCTAAAGCAAACAGCATCGGTGCATGGCTCAGATGTAAGGTCCAGTAGTAAGAGGAAAACAATGCACGGACATGGTTGATATTAAACTAGGGCCGTACGATCTGACGATATAAAATCATTAAGGATTATTATGGGATGACGATCTACCAAAGTTTGGAGTCCGTAAAACCGTCTATTTGCATTCCATCACCTGTCTGTGCCTTTAATTCTGGACGCATCTATGTGTTTTTCTCCCTGAGTCACGCCATTTGCTAGCCTGACACACCATGAACCAATCAGAGCAAGTTTTAGTCAGCGTGTTGGTTTGTTTAGCTGGGGTGTTCCTTAGAGCTGAGGGAAATAATATAACAATGCATTTATGCGGACATAAATGATTATGAAATGTTGAAAGCACACCATAATCGACTATAGCTAGTGGCTAGCATTAGCTGTTAGCTTGCGGCACCTCTAAACAGTCCTTGCGTGTATTCTCGTGTGTCTGCTCGATCAGGAAACCTCGGAGTCTGCTCTAAACATTGCATTTGGTCAGGAAACCGCTACGGAGGGCAGCAAGGCCAAAACAGCGGGAGTGTAATTCTCTGAGTATTGGATGCAAATACAACGTGAATTTAGCTTAACCTGATAGATTTTTTTCTCTGGACAACAAATAATTACTGGTAATATTGTGGATGATTGAATATGAGCCACCTCTAGACATAATTTAAATTATTTAACATAATTTTATACAGATATATAATAATTAAAAGTGCCTGTGGGACATTTGAGACGTCTCTAGCTCCTACCTGTGGGAGGGAGAGACGGACAGACAGATAGAGCTTTTATCCTATTTTCTGTGAAGGGGTGTGTTGTTAAATGCATTTTACTGGTAAATAACTTCTGAAACGTCAAAATAAATAATAAAAAACATGATAAAATTATGATTTTGCTAAAATTTCATCGTGTTATGATTTTTTCCCATGTCGCCCACCCCTATAATAAACCCAATAACAGATGTACATGTATGTTTCTCTTCTTTCCCCCTTTGATGAAGACCAGAACACAAAAACAACCCGCACAGCTCAAATGAAACAAAGTACTAAAGCGTAGTTATCTCATTATCAGGGTGAAAGCAACTAATTGAGTAGGTAAACAAACAAATGCTAACAGCTCCACGGCACTTCCTCACTTCTGAAATCTCGTCACTCCACAAAACATGACCTGAAACTCCGGGGTCGACCTTTTTAACGAGGCCTCCAGCTCAGCCAGGTTCACTGGCAGCAGCTTGCTGTAAATTTGAGCTCGAGGTCACTTCAAGCATGCGTGCATGTGCACACACACACACACACACACACACACACACACACACACACACACACACACACACACACACACCTTCGTGGCTTCACTCGCCAACATTTGAGGCTGCCTAGTGTGGACCATTATGTGTGGTGGCCCCTTTGCTCCAGCCTGGTCAGAGGCCAGCCCCTCTGATCCCCAATCCTGTCCTGTCATGGGTCACTGGAAGGGGCTCTGGCCCCTGGGCTCCGAGGCTACACTTCCACTGTTGCTACCTCTACCTCCTCTCCTCTCCTGCCTCCCCCTCTGATGCCTTTGGGCTGAGTCTAAAGGTCAGAGGATTGGAGATGAGGGGGTCATTCTAGCGTCACCCAGGCTAGCGCCACATTCAGCCTGAGTGTTGTAACACATTATCACCCCTTCTTTTCCAATAGCATAAGAAAACACTGGGGCTTTTTCACCCTCTGGCAGGGCCATCAATGGTCCCAACGCTGAAGCTAAATGGCGTACTTAGCATACCTAATTGATACATCTCATCCCTAAAGCCTCTATTGATTAGAACAAGAATGTGTGCAGCCAAGTGGATAAAGTCGACGGACTTTCATTTAAAAGATACTAAAAATTCCATCTGAAGAAGGAAACTGACTGATGCGGTCCAGATTTGCTCGTTGTTTTGATCTGAAGCTGAGCTCCCACAGTTTGATCCACACTGACAGGTCTCGACTGAGGGAGCAAACGAGGGCTGTTGTTGGGCTTTCGCAATCAAGCATTGGCCAGCAACACAGTAACACAATCCATATGTTTTATCTGAGGAGCGTGGGGGGGTAGGGGGTGGTAAATGCAATCAAGCGTCAAAGCCCCCAACACCACTGCTGTTCCCCCATCCAATGACCCAGCGCCAGGAGAGCAAGCAAAAGCCGGCTCTGACAGCGAACGTCTAACTGTAGTTGTAAATGTTTTAGGAGGGCAGTTAAAGTGTGCGCTGGGCGTTCCAAGGCCTTCGGTGTGGGAATGACCCGAGCTGTTTGGGGGCAGATCCAAAAGCTCAGCTCAGTTTGGGGGCCCGATGGGCAGGAACTCAAGTCCATGCTATAGCTGGCTGAATCTGAGACAGACGGCTGAGACAGATGAGGATTAGTCTACAGCTTTGATCACAGGACCAGGAAGCTCTCATTGCAGAGGACAATGATTGGTAGTGACTGAACATTTCTTTTTGGAATCCCTTCTTTTTTCTTTCTTTGTTAGGATGATGAACAGGGATTTATTCTCTTGCATTTTAGGTGCTCTATCTGTTCCTAGCATCTCTCCACATGTATGAACACACGGAGTATGTGGACAGCACCTTAACGTCAGACGTGTCTCTCTGGCAGTTCCTCCAGGCTCTGGACAGTGAGGAGAAGGTACGGTCAGCATGGTCGAACTTCCCTCCTTGGAAGTTGAGGAAGAACGTGGTGAAAGGTTCCTGTGAATAAAACAAAGAGCATGACTCTGACCTGTTCAGGGCTGAAACTAGCAACGCTGTTCTGCATTAGCATTTCATTCATTTTCAGCAACATTTAGATGTTTCCTGAGATTAACAGGAAATACTACACCCATCATCTCTTGTAGCACTTTCCGTTTGACATCAGCGATCCCTTCTTTAATAAAAATAGCAAAACAAAAGGATGAATCCTGTAAAATTTGGGGAAATGCACACTAATCACCAGAGCCTGTTTCATTCCAAATGAATTATAATTTAACTTCTGTTGTTCTGCCTGGTCTTTAAGTGAACATTAAGAGGTGAGTGTTCCTGGTAAAGTGGCTTTAGAGTAAGCTGGCTAATGATATGTGGGGATCAATGCGTGAACTCTACTGGGAGTTTCTGAGACGGTCAGCTACTGGGACAAAACCACCAAAGAAACCCTGCATGTCAGAGAATCGTAGCAGCCTCTCTCTCCCATGAGTGCAGTAAGGAGCGATTAACGGCGTCCATTTAACAAAAGTGCTAAAAGTGAGTGTTTTATTGCAAAAATGTCCACAGAGAAGTCTCCTTTAAAATCAAAGCACACCTCAGATCCTTTTATTTAAAAAAAATTAGAGCCAGTTCTTCCATGCTGATGCATTTTTTTCATGTTACCCTGCTATAGTCAGAGCATAGTAAAAAAAACACCAGCCTGCACCTTGATACGAGTCCAGCTGTTTGGGGTGTTCAGCAGGAAAACAAAACCAACAGAACGTTCTGTATTGTGCATGGATAATTATTGGACTCCATGACATTTTGGGGATCTGTTGTGCTGCAGCACAATTAAAAACCACCACTAAAGAGTTTTTTGGTATGGTCATTTATATTCACATCACTTACGATGCGCAGTAGCCACATCAAGGTGAAGCTGGAGGTAGAGTAGTGGGTGCCGTAGTGGAACTTGGGCACCTGATCATCCTCCCAGGACTCGTATCGGTCTGAAAAGAAGGCTGCCCTCTTGGGGTTCAGAGCACCAATGGGCTGTAAGAAATTAAAAACAACAAAAGCACACTTTAAAAGATGCAAACAACTTAAAAAAAAACTACAATTTTCTCTGACAAGTGAACAAACCTGAAAGAGAAAGCCAAGTGAATGCAGGGGGAGTCATTCAGGATTTTATTGTGAATAAATTAAGGAACCACTCCTTGCAGCACATCGGCTGCACGGGAAATGAAGCTGGCAACCATTGTGCAATTTCAAATGAATATTAGATGATGTTTCCCTTCAGACAGAGATCAATCCTTTCCCTCAGAGTGCTTTTTAGAGGCTGCGAAGCGGAGGCCCTGCAGCTGCAGTCTGTCAGAGAAAACTAATGTTCTCCAATGAAAGAGTGCCTACGAGGAATAGCAGCGCCAAAGCTGAGGCTTAATTTCTGCTTTTATTAATCTGTAACTAATATACCGGTCACACGTCCTATTAATGGTGAAGAAAAAATGTTTAAGATGCATTAATTTTCCATTGATCTCCCAAAAAGACCAATAACCCTGTGCTCGGCTATTTAAACACTCATTTCTACAAATCAATTTCAGGCTGGTTCAATTTTTATTAGACGTCTGCTGGATATGCCTCATACTCCCAACCCCCTGGTCACCCATCACACACACACACACACACACACACACACACACACACACACACACACACACACACACACACACACACACACACACACACACACACACATGATCAATGGTAATGGAATGATGGCTATTTGAGGACGAGGGCCTTGTGGGATGTGGATCAATTGGATCTCTTTCATATCACCGTGCGCCCGTCCCAGCACGACTCGTCCAGGTCAGGTCTCAGATATTGATCCGTGATGCTGCTACTGTGTTGTGTGGGTTCAACGGAGCACGCATTGAGGATTTGACGAAATTCTCCTACGATGCAGCGGGCAGTTGCCTTTTTTATTTGCGTGAATATATTTTGGAGGTTATTTTGCACCCTGGTCTGTGTGTGTGTGTGTGTGTTAAACACATTGTGTTTCCACACCGTGCAGCTCTCCCGTGACAGTGATACACTGTGAGCCTGCTCAGGGCCACTGGGGTGGTTGAGTACACACAGTGAATTATACATCACACCCATTGCTCTGATTTATAGCCCTAATAACAGTCAGCTCATTAAAAAAAGAAAAGGGAGAGGAGGCATATTAAATAAAAGAGACTGAAAGTGCCACAGTGATGGGGAGAAGGAGAATTGTGTGAGTGCATGTGGGGGGGCTGTTGGTTTGCTCTACATTGTTTACTGCTGTAAATTACTGCCGGGCTCACCGCTCTCGCCTTACAGTAGCTACAACACAGCAGCTCTGACGGCGCCGTACATCACGGCGGCGCGCTGATAAAACGCCTGCTGCTGCTGCTTCACCACTGATTGGCCTAATATGTCGCGGCACACAATGGCGGCTCTGATGAGCGCGCAGACAAATGAACCAATCTCGTAGTTTTAATTAGACAAAAGAGAAAGCGGCCGAATGGAAATGCAGCAGTGCTTCAGAGCGGTAAACATCGGAAAATTAATGCTGGATTAGTTTTAATCAGTTCTTCGTCAAGAGAGGAGGTGGAGGAATCAGCCCTGACAGGAAACGGTTTCACCTCATGCAAATACAGCCGGGAGTAAACAAGGGGCCTGAAAACCTCCATTTATTTTAAATTCAGCCCTAGTAGACTCAAACTCTTACTTAAAGCTGCCTAATATTCCAAATATTGTCTGTGGGGAAACGTAGAAATATTTATTAGAGGAAATTGTTTAGTTCCACCGATAATGAAGTTGTGACGTTCCTAAACATTGACCCGAGTGGCTCGATCCTTAAGTTTTGAGTCTGTCTCCTCTAAGCAGACATTTGGGACGTTCTCCGGATTAGTTGTTTAGAAGTGCCTTTTGTCACTTCAAGGTAAGAACACTGCAGCTGCACCTTTAAAGGAGACACACTGTGACCTTTATCGTGTATATAATAGTTCTGTGGTTGACAAGCATGTTTATGAAGTTGTTTGCACTAAATCCCTCTCACATAAAGCAATATCAGCAGGTTTATTCTAGACATTTTCAGGACCTTCCAGAACGAGCTGTTTAAAGGTGTTGAACACTTTTTAACCACTATATGTTCAGTGGTTTCTAGTAGGAATGAATGCCTCGTTAGTGATACTCTGGGGAATAAAATCACTGATGCACCATTTTCAGGAACCAGAAGTGAGCCACATCATGGCTGAGCTTCAGACGGCAGGTTTTGGAGTCTTATTTCCTGAAATTTGGACATCTCACCTCAAACTGGATAACAGCAACACGACTCTACTACTGACTTGCAACATTGATGTTTCATCTCCACAAACAACACAAACCTGTAGAAGCTTCCGTCGTGTGGCACAGTTGCTAAAGCTAACAGATTTATTTCTGCTAGTCGATTCCTGGACGCTAAACCAACAACAGCCTTCCCTGTTGTGAGCCAAGATGGGTGAGTCCATGCACGTTACGTGACAGTGTGACGTAGATCTGTCAGGCTTTTCAAATCCTAGAGTTTCACCGTTTATTTTCAATCAGAAGCTAATGCAGGAGATAGATGTAGGAGACTATTGTTCAGCCTGCACGATAAACTCAGAATGACCGATTATAATCAGAAATAAGTTGTAAAAAGGTTTTTGGGGGTTTCACACTTTTTAAGAAAACAAGCAGGAGCTGGCCACACCCACAAGCAGCAACTCACTTTTGCACATGAGCAGTGGTTCTATTCTAATTTCTCCATTTGTGATGTCACAAATGGAGACTTCTTGGAACAGCTAGTTTTAAGCACATAATTCCTAAAATCAAACAGTGACAAAAAACAGACGCATATTTTTTGCACAGTTGGAGTGTTTTTAGAGGCAGTAGAGGCCCACTTGGCAGCACAAAAACATGCAAAAGTTGAGTTTTCCATAATATTTCTATTTAAATATTCACGTTCCAGTTCATTCGGCAGTAATTAAGCTCACTAAAAACTTGAGTTTGCACCTAAAGCCAAAGATTTCCAGATAATACGTCCACATGTCACATCACAAACATTTTCCACTAAAGAACTAAAATGTTTCTATTTAACAAAACCACCCTTCTTAAAGAGCAAACAGCAGCTTTCTAAGAACCATCATAACTCGGATCCGCCCCTCTGACGCAGCGCCAAAGGCTCACTGACGATATGAGAATCACTCTGATTTAACGTCATAAATCACACGAGCCTCTTGAACACACTGTTTATGTCTAATGTCCTATTTAAGGAGTGAAAATGGTGTGGAGGACCTGGGGGACAAACACACGGGGCGCCTACAGCCAGATCAATACGCTATTAGCCGATCTGGCTGTGAGTAGCAGATTATAACACAACAGGTACAGAGAACGCTCAATAAATCCTCACTACAGCCGTTTGTGTGAGAATGTAAACTACACAGAAGATAAAAATCCTTTGTTTGTTGAGCTTTGGTAAAAGCTACACAACAAGAAGAATCCTCATTTAAAATGGGATCGTACTGCATAACGGACAGCCTCATAGGTGTGTGAGATAGACGGTTTAATGTCAGATCTCTACAGCACAAACAGAACGGTGTGTGTACAGGAGCACCAAGAAACAAAACCAAACATGACATCAACGTACGTGTGCTCATGGTGACTACGTTATCTCTGGGGTCGGCATGTGGTGTCAGGTTGGGGGTAAAGTTTATGATAAGAAAGTCCTGGGGGTCAAAACAGCTCTGGTAGCGAGGGACATAAATTGTGTGTGGCCTCTGTCGAGCTGGCAGTGATGACAACGTGTGGCACACACACACACACACACACACACACACACACACACACACACACACACACACACACACACACACACACACACACACACACACACACACACACACACACACACACACACACGTACGTTCATGGCAGACCGGCTTCTCAATGTCACTGGCGGCTTCGCACATGACCTGTTTCTACAACAGACGACGACCAAAGTGACATATTCACCGTAGGAGGGGCGTGTGTGTGTGGGGAGGGGTGCTAACACAAACTGTGGAGAAAGAAAACTGAAACAAGATGAGAAAAGATCACAAAGCAAGGTGGGGGTGCGTGGTACCGAAAACAGATCTACAAACAAAAACACAACATGGTGCACCGGTGATTTGGTGCAGAGCAGCAAGGTGGGCGTTGATCTGAGAAGCTGCACAGCTCCGCTCGCCCTTCTCCAGACACTGCAGTCTGACACGGTCCAGCAGTCATACGCTGATAACACACACACACACACACACACACACACACACACACACACACACACACACACACACACACACACGCGCGTAATAAAGATCGGCCTTCTCTACTGTCCTCTTCAACAAGAAGAAAGGAGTGACAGAGAAGCAAATGATGATGTTCTTCTTCTCCAACACTCTCCTCCTCCTTTTTATGCTTTCTGATCATCTCTCAGCTTCTCCTCCTTTTTTCCCCTTCAGTCACGGAGTCCCCGGGGTGGCGAGAGGCTCGACTGAGTTCAGAGGCTGAGCTGTCCAAACTCAATGGCAGAGCAAAAGGAGAAGTGCGGGAAGCTGAGATGAGCTACGAAAGCTAAAAGGAAGAGCTGCTTGTTTGTGAGAGTCACATTTCCACCTCGGCAGATAAACAGAGAAAAGATTCAGCCTCCTACAGTGAGTCGATGAAGGGGAAAAAACATCAGTGAGTGAGTGAGATCAAATATGAAACTTAAAGGCAAGGTGTGCCACAGGGCGGCGTGCATCGATCAGAGCACTGTATTCTGCTGCTTTTCTGTGTTCCTGTGTACTTTCACTTGCAATTGAAGCAGCACCAAAATAGACAGATTGCAAACTGCCTTTACAACATATAAAGCTAACCATTAAAATGCACCTCTCTCAACTTCTCCCCAGTCCATTAACCAAAGCGTTTTGTTTCCATGGCTGATTCATTCAGTCGTTCTGGTTCTGGTGGCTAGACAGATGTTCAATCTTCTCCCTCCAAATCTGATCCTCTGTCCTCCTGCTGCTGCGCTCTTCAACACTAGGGAGAGCATGTTCCACCTTTTAGTGTGCGTGCGTGTGTGTGTGTGCGTGTGTGTGTGTGTGTGTGTGTGTGCGTGCGTGCGTGCGTGTGTTTATTAAGGCAGACTTCATTGTTTTAGACCCAATCACTTGATGCCTGCGGCTACAGTGGAGTACTACTTCACTTCCTGGTGTTTCGTGGAAGGTCAACCTTGAAAGATTTAATTATGAGCAGAAAGTTGCAGACGCAGACCGTAACGGGGTGTGAATCAGGTTTAACAGCCGACCGTGTGGATTATGTTTTAGTTGTCTCTCCTCTTTTAAAACCTTGGTTGTAGCAGCGTCTTACCTTAGAAAGGTCTCTGAAGTTGCTGGGCAGTGTGAGGTCAAGTTCTGCCGAGTCATAGTTGGTGATTATCCAGGGGAAGACCGGGTACTGGTTTAAATCATTAAAGGTTCGACCTACACAGAACAAAGGGAAAAGCAAGAGAGAAGAAAAAGAATGATCGTCACCCTTCATAGATCCGAGCCTCTTTTAGACTTTGTTCTCACCAGAGATGGTGTTCAGAAACATCAGGTACTCGAAGTTGGATATCTCTCGGCGCTGCCAGCGCTGAGTCATGTTGGATGCCTTGAAGAGCTGCTTGGGCGTGGCCAAAGAAATGCGTCTACAAGGTAAAAGAGGTGAAAACGGGACATTTAAATGTCGGGGAGCACGCGTGTGTCTGATAGTGGTGATAATGACAAACACCGAGCAACAGAGACCGCAAACGTCCTTCAGTAACAAAACACCTACTTAGTAACTAGCAGGATAAATGCTAAATAAACCAGGTCTCACACACACAAACACACGGTCCTGCAACATGATGAATGCTCTACAGCAAAAGCAAATGACCCCAAATCCGATTAATACAAAAGAAAATTAAGGAATTAATCAATGTCAATGCTGGAGATTATAGTCATTAAGACTCTCAAAAAAGTAAAAATACTTTTTTTGCAAGTAACTGTGTACTTCATCTGTAATCTTCCATGACGAACATTTAGGATTGTATATTTTTATAAACACACTTCAGATCGCATCAGCTAGTGTCCACAATCAAAAACAAAAATCTTCAGGGAAGAAGTCAGGATTTTTTATTCTGCTATAATCCCAAAATGAATGGATAGTAGAGATAGTTGTTTACATTAAAGTACATTTGTGCTGTACTGGCTGTATGAGCTGACATGTGGGTTGAGAGGTGGGCCCGCCTTTTTTTTTCTCTCTCTCTCCCTCTCCCTCTCTCTCCCTCTCTCTCTCTCCCTCTCCCTCTCTCTCTCTCCCCCTCTCTCTCTCCCTCTCCCTCTCTCTCCCTCTCCCTCTCCCTCCCTCTCCCTCCCTCTCCCTCTCTCTCCCTCTCTCTCCCTCTCTCTCTCTCCCTCTCCCTCTCTCTCTCTCCCTCTCTCTCTCTTCCTCTCTCTCTCTCTCCCTCTCTCTCGCTGTGTGTGTTTGTGCACACTATCACACCACCACTGACTTGGAGAACTCCCTTTCTCATTTTGACAAGGTTCAAACCCTAACCTCGTATAAAGACTATTCTCAAATCCTAAAAATCCCTGAACAAAGCGGCACAGAAACCGTAGCAGCAGTAAAACGATTTTGCTCTGCAGGTCGGTCTAGTCACCCTCCATAGGAGATTCAGCAGGTCTATCATTGGACAGAGCAGCTTTGTGTCCTGCCAATCACAGCACTATCAGCTTGGTGGGGGATGTTACCGCGACAAAGATGGAGGCGGCTTGTTTGAAATGGCTTTGGCAGCAACTTTGGACTATACAGACTTGGGCTTTTCCTTGAGTGAAGAGCAGATGGAGGTAATTAGGTCCTTTATTTTGAAAAATAACATGTTTGCATCCTCTTTGTCGGCATGTTGAATCCTTGGATTCTGCCCCACGACTGAGCTCTCCCTGTCGGTCGTGGCCAGACTTTAAATTCACATATATAGGAAGGCTTGCCAGGCTAACAAAGGCCTGTAGCACTTTAAAGCCATTGTTTCTACTTTGTTTGTCTTCAGGCAGACTCTTACAGCGGTGTGAGAAAGGAGGAGGAGCGCCCTGCAGACATAAAAACTCGGGATGCTCCCATCGGATCATGCCAACAGAAATCGAGCTAAAGTGTTAGATATGAAGAAAGAGCTAAGTCACCGCTCAAGTGCACACAACACAGCAAAGAATTTTGAATCAAAGCAATAATGTCCAAATATGAGAGAAAACGTGAAAGAGCAGGTCTAACCTGGTCTGAGGAGGGCCGTAGTTCGTGCCCACCCCAACACGAGGAAGACTGTGAACCACCTTCTTCACCACGGCTGCATCTGGAAAGTTGAACATGACCGCCGCTGCAGGAAAACACAGACATGTACTGTTAGCAGGTTTTACGCAAAATAACTATTTAGAGCAGATTTGTGACCATTTCGCTATAAAAATGGTCAAATATTAATTGTTCTAAAGTCGGCTCGGCTACAGAAACCAGATAGCCCGACTCACTTCTGTTTGCCATGAATACTTCCAGAGCGGTGTTCTGCAGCAGGTAGCGTCTGGAAAAGATGGCTCGGATCTCGGTGAACAGCCATTTTCCATGAAGACCTTCTGTGTAGGCCAAGATCTGGAACACGCGAGACAAAAATTACTTTTCATATCCATTTACTACACAATAAATATATAAACAGTATTAAAAAGAACATGGAGGAGGAGGAAGGAGGGAAATAAAGGGTTGACAGCAGGTTAGGGGAGGAAATTTTTCACACGGAGACGACACGCTGGCCTCGCACAACGATTAATGTCTTATATTGATCAGCCTCAATGAAAAAGAGATTCCTTTAGCGAGAAGATGGGGACCTATTGTGCAGGAGGGACTGAAGGAAATGTCCAGTCCACTAAAAGATAATCTACTTTGACTGGGGTTTGACGTGTTGCCAGTTAAGAGGCTGTTTTATGGTAAACATCTGATTAGGAATGCTTTATGCATTTCCACAGAGGGAACAAACAGAGGATGGACAATATCATATTACAAGCTCAAAGGTGCTTGGTTTCATCTGTCCCCATGGAGACTGTGGTGGCTGTCAGGGTGACTGGTTCTGATGCCCGTCTCAGAACCCGACAGGCCCGGATGTTTAGCCCTGCCCTCGTGATTTGTGCTCGTGCTAATCCAGCATTTAGCTTTGCTCCTAGCCCACTTAGAACTGCTTTGTTAACTTGGCTTTTGTTTCACCCTCTGCTTTTACTTTCAAATGCTGACAAGAGTGCATGCAGGGATTTGAAGGTAACATATCGTCAGGGGATGGTTTAGAAGGAGCATTATTCAGAAATATTTAAATATGAGCTGCAACCCAGGCCTGGCTTTAAGTTCAGGAGCTCATTAAGCAGAGGGGGACATCAGACCAAACCAGCTGAGGACAGCTTCTCCCCTCACCGTCTCCGAGGAGTAAGACCTGTCTGCATCGCAGACTCGCTTCAAAGTCTCTGGAGTTCAATTAAATATGGATTAGTAGCTCAGAGAAGCTAGCTGAGGCTGAAGACAGCGGTGTCCTATCTTCAGGGGAAGCTAGTCACAAGGTGTTTGCCCAGGTCCTGATCCAAGAACAGCATCCTCAAGGGGGAATGTAACTTGTATACAAAGTTACTATAAATTACCCTAATATTACAAATACTTAAGACTGTTGCAGTTCATTAGCCCAGGTCAAAAACAATTTTATGAAGTAATAAAAAATGGCTACGCGGAGGAAGACGACGACGATCAACAGAATGGGGAACTACTTAGATCAGTCGTGACGAGAAAACTCTAGGCAACAACACTTTGATTCGCCTAATCAAAGGAAACATTTTTTTTTTGTGATCTTTGGAAAAGCCAACCTAGACAGCATCTAAAAGGGTTTTCTTCAAGGACTTCTGCTCTGGTCCAAAAGGCTTCTTCAGTTCCAACTAAAGGTGAGCTTCAGCTTCAGAAGTTTTGTTGAGACATTCACGTTGAAAGGGTTGATTTTAAGCCCCAATTATAAAGCCTTTGTTGGCAATAACCATCCATTCATCCATTTTCAGCCGCTTATCCGGAGTCAGGTCGCAGGGGCAGCAGCCTAAGCCGAGAGACATAGACTTCCCTCTCCCCAGCCACTTGGACCAGCTCCTCCAGCTGAGAGACGGTCCCTCCAGCGGGTCCTGGGTCTTTCTTTAGGTCTTCTCCTGGTTGAACATACCCAGAAAACCTCACCGGGAAGGCGTCCAGGAAGCATACTAACAAGATGCCCGAGCCACCTCAACTGGCTCCTCTCGATGTGGAGGAGCAGCAGGTCTACTCTGGGCCCCTCCCAGACGACCGAGCTTCTCACCCTACCTCTAAGGGAGAGCCCAGCCACTCTGTGGAGAAAACTTATTTCAGCCGCTTGTATCCGCGATCTCGTTATTTCGGTCATTACCCAAAGCTCATGACCATAGGTGAGGGTAGGAACGTAGATCGACCGGTAAATCGAGATCTTTGCCTTCTGACTCAGCTCTCTCTTCACCACGACAGATCGGCACAACACCCGCATCACTGCAGACGCAGCACCAGTCCGCCTATCGATCTCAGGCTCCATCTTTCCCTCACTCGTGAACAAGACCCCGAGATACTTAAACTCCTGCACTTGAAGCGGGACCTCGTCCCTCACCCGGAGGAGGCGTTCTACCCTTTTCCGACTCAAAACCATGGTCTCGGATTACCAATAACGCTTAAAACCAATAGAAATACAAAGACACGCACTGAAGACATTCTTTGCAAACAAGATTTTGGAGCCCTCGGGGTTAAAGATTTCATAACATTCACTTGATGTTTATGAAACCCAATTTCAGCTTCCCAGCAACAAACGGGAGCTAAAATACGACTGGTTAGAATTTAATTGGGATTTTAATTACTATATGCATTATTGGCCCATTCAGATTGTGCAACTCCTCTCAGATGGCTGAAAGAGACGACAGGCTTGAGAATATGACCACGTAAAAATCTTTCCTGCTCAATGAAAATGAAATATTGGGGGAAAAAAATTAATTGAAGAAAGAAAAAGATAGAATTCTTAAAATTTGCAGTCTGGTTATTTCTGTTGTCAGGAGATGAGTGACAGCATGGCCTGTAATTGATATAGCATTTTCTAGGGTTCTAACACACACACACACACACACACACACACACACAGATAAGCTACACTGTAGCCACTGCTGCTCTGGTGGACCAGCCAGTCCCTCCAGCCACCACCAGCAGGCCATGTGGGTTAGGTGGGAGCAGTCTGATGGTCCCTAGGGTTGGTCTGGGTATAGATGGTAGGAAACAGACAACAGCAAAAAGAAACCCATTTGTGTTTATTACCTTGTAAATCAGATTTGTCCTAATGTAATCCTTCTTGAATGAAACTTCACAGTGTTGCATTTATTAAAGCAGATTATTTCGATGGATTGGAGGAAAGTTTTTATTCATTCAGCGGTTATTCTTTCATTTGAATCACAGGCCCTAATTCTGCCTCCTTAAACTCTTGTATTCTGTTGACATGAACAGACAATAATATGAGCAATTAGGAGCATTTACTGGCAAGAATCTGGTGATATGATATACGTATATTTCACAGTACAAGGATACGATACCATATATTGTGACACTCAGATGCTTCCAGAGTGTTAACGCAATATCTCGTTTTGTCAGAACAAAGGCGGTAAAAACTGCTGCCACCTAGCAGTCGGGAGTTTGCGTTACACCACAACATAAATTCGGTACATGTTTGCATGGAAGTTCTCAATAAAATTCAATACACTGCTTTTAAATATCGATTCAGTATTAAAGAAGAAATATTATGATGTTTCAGTGTATTGATGGTACTGATGTGTACCTACATCCCCACACGTTGATAAAACTATTTACAGTCTGAGATGTTCAAGGAGACCGTTTAATAAAGTTTGATAGAGATTTAGATAAACTCCAGGAAGAAGCTCAGTAAACTGGGGAAGGTTCCATGTTTAAAAAACCCAACCCTGTCCTCAGGTGTGGCGTGAGTGAATGGAGTATTAAGGTTGGTTTATGCTTGACGCGTCCACGAGGTCCGCACGGTTCCGCGCGGCAAAATTGCGTCATTTTAACAACCACGCCCCCTCCGCCGCACCTCCGCGGAGGCCCAAAATTTCCGCACCGCGCACCTAGGAAAATCTCTAACCACGCGGACAGTCAGACGCGGAAAAACTGGCAAGAACTAGTATGGCAGAGGTTCGTAAATACAGACATTTGTATGATTCAGCTCTCAGAGATCACCGTGATCAACATGTTGTTAATAATTCTTGGAGAGAAATAGCTCGCACTGTCGGAAAAGACGAGGACGCTGTTAAAAATGCTGGAATGCCATGTTGTAAACAGTCATTTCTACTTCTACTATGGTGTAGTGTTGGATGCATGCCGTAGAGCTCCATGCTGCCCCCTACAGTTTGGGAGAATATTGGCTCACCGCAGAGACAAGCCGCATGAACCATAAACGCTGCGAGTTGTGAAGCGCGATCCATCTGCGAGCCGCATCACCGCGCGGAAAGTTAATGCGTCAAGCATAAACCAAGCTTGACCTTTCACCTCCAACAGGGAGTGGCTGACTTATTTCATTGCTGGGACGAAAGCACTGGATGTTAAGAAGACACCCGGCCAGCGCTGACCTGATGAAGCTGCTGTCTCCGATTCCTCAGAGAGACGTGACAGCAGTGGAAGCAGCCAGACATCATCTTTTTCTCCACATCCATGAATCTCCTGCATCGCTGTAGATAGCACTCGGCGAGATCGCCATCCCTATCAGCAGAGCCCTTTCCATTGCAGATGAAAAAGCTGAGCGGGTGACAACGAGCGTGACAAACTATCCATCCCATAATGCTTTTAGCTGTTCTGACCACGTCTGGACAAATGACAACAGTGTGGAGGTTGTTGTCTGAGCTGGAATTATGGCTGACCCAGCTTTCCTCTGTGATGTACTGTAATGGAGCGACTGGAGCGGTTGGATTCAGACAGAAAACATCGCCAGTGCAGCAGAGGAGGTGGCGGTCCGCCCTTCTAGCATCACATCTGGAGTTGGGATGAAATGTCTCTCAGGAGGAACGTCAAATTAATAAGAAGCTTCAGCATGAATCAAGTACAAAATTTTATTGATTGTTTATGTTTTGTTCTGTGAAACTGCATCTAAGGAATCAAACCGTCCACGCTCTGGGTCAGTTTCCAAGCGTCACGCGGGAGAACACAGCCAAATGGAAAACAAAGGAACAAATCTGGATTCTCTCTCTCGGGTTCTCCCTCCTCCTCTCAACCTGTTTGTGCGCCGGGCTGCGGCTCATTTCTGAAGCCCGGTCGTTTGTCTCTGTCAAACGCCCAAAAGATGCAGAATGAAGAGGGACGTGTGAAGAGGGACCGGGTGACCGTGGCTACGATGTGTAACCACATACACGTTCAGAAACTGTCAACGCCGAATCTCACCGTCTGTCGGTGCCAGAGAACCCTCTCCATCAACCCCCCCCCCCTCAAAAAAAAATCTCCCGCCATCCGAGTGGGACCCCCTTTGTAAACCAGGTAAAGTCACGTGGAGAAAACGCCGCGACTCAGATTACATTTAATTGAAACCA